CCTCATTTCGGTCTTGGGTGTCAGGGTTACGGTGCCCATTTTGGCATCCGGCCTGGCATTGGGGCAACCTCCCTTGGGCACCCAAGCTGAGCAGAAGCAGGGACTGTGCTCGATTCCTGGCTGTAACTGCAGGGGAAGGCGGTGGCCATGGCCTTCCCCCACTTTTCTACCTCATGGGGACCAAACGGACCCGCTTCCTTTTGGGAAGTGGAGCCAACCGAGTGGGTCAAACAGAGCAGTCCTGGGTGGGTAGCTGTCCTGGCTGCAGCCGCTTTGATCATAGCTCTTCTGTGCATCTGCTGTGCCACTGATCTCCAGCCCTTCTCAACCGACTGGGGAGGAGGATGGCTTTGCTCTGGGCATTAACAAGCTCATGTCAAACCGACCCAGGTGGACCCGGGTGCCTGTCCTTCCTATATATAAGCAGGACAGTGTTCCCGTGAGGACACTGGCAAAGCCTTCTTGAAAGAAGAGGTTGAAAGCCAGGACATCCTGCTCTCTGCTTCCCACCGAGAGAAGTGGCTCGCAGGGTTGGGCAGCTGGTGCATTTGCCTTGAGGAGACAGCGATGGGCTGGGTTTGCACTCACCCGCTGAGGCACCAGAGAGGGAGACGAGAGTGAGAGACAGGTCCCCGGGAGGTGACGTTCAGCGCATTTCTGGCCTAGCTTTCTCTACAGAGTTTTGTTTGGTTTGGTTTTCCAGAAGAAAAAAATAAAGTTAAGCACAATCCAGTCCACACTTATATGCCTTAAACAGGTTGGCCTTATTCTGTTGGGCTCAGTCGCCTTGTTTGCAAGCGATGTACAGCCTCTGTGGTCTCCAATAAACTTTGTGAAGGAATAAATGCCTCTTTGTGAATCGTCCTTTGTTCTATTACGTGTCCCCACTCTGGGACTAAGTTCCCATGGTGCTAGGGGTTGCACGAACACAGCAATGAGACAGTTCCTGCCCCAGAGAGTTGACAGATAACTCGAAGGTTTGTGCACAGTCTAGCCTCGTCCGCACAGCACGTTAGATGGCACTTGCGTTGGACACGTGAGGCTAGAAAATTTGTCTCTAGTGTGTGTGTGTGTGTGTGTGTGTGTGTGTGTGTACACGCATGCATGCATACTGCATGTGCTTTCCAGCCTTTTTATGCAAATCCCCTGCCTATACCCTTCCAGCTGCTCATTTTATAGGATCATAGAAAATGAGGGTGGGAAGGGACCTCAGGAGGTCACATCTAGTCCGGCCTGCTGCTCGAGGCAGCACCAGCTCTGACTAAACCATCCCAGCCACGTGTTCTGTCCAACCTGCTCCTGAAAATGTCCAGGAGTGGAGATCCCGCAGCTCCTCTACGCAGCCTGTTCCAGTGCTTAACCCCACTCTGGCTCCTCATCTCCAACCTGTTTCCTCTGCTGAAGCTTAGGGCCATTGCTCCTAGCCCTGTCCCCTGCAGCCACAGAGCAAAGCTCATCTCCATCTCTAGAATCAGCCTTCAGGTATGATCAAATCCTCCCTTCAGTCTTCTCTCCTCCAAACTAAGTATCCCGAGCTCTTTCACCCTGTCCTCAGAGGTCCTGTATCCTGGACCCGGGATCATCCTTGTTGCTTTGCGCTGGACTCTTTCCAAACTGTTCACATCCTCCTTGAAGGGCAGGGCCCAAAACCACACCGGACTCCCCAGTGCTGAATAGAGGGGAAGAATCATGTCCCTCGACTTCAGCTGACACTGCTGTTGATCCAACCCAGGCTTTTTTTTTGCAGGGGGAGCACTGTTGGCTCATGTGCAGCTTATGGTCCAAAGTCAGATCCTTCCCAGGCTGTATCTGTGCATGCAGTTATTCTGGCCCGAGGGCCGGATTCTGCACATGGGCTGAGAGCTGGAAGACCAGGACCACTTTTGGAAACCTAGAAGCACATTGCATTTACACCTTCCAGAGGGAAAATTGCTCCTGGGGTAGAACGCGAAGCTGCTGCATTTCCTTGTTTGAAAGGCCTGTCCATGGCTTGCACCTCCCGAAGCATGTCGTTGCCTGCAAAAGCTTGCACCTCTCTGAGCTGGTTCGTCTCCGAGGTGCCCCCTGCTCTGCCATCTGCTTGCATGAGTGGTGCCACTTCTACGTTGCGTCAAGTGTGCACCACAGGGGTGGGAGCTGGCCTCTTAGCTAAAGGGTTAGGCAGTCTCCCACTTTTAAATGTGGAAAGTCGTGAGTTCGAGTCCTACAAGTGATGGCACCAGGGGCAGGGATTGGTTTGTCAGGTGCAAGGGAAGCAGCTCGCAGCACTGCCACTGCGGGAGCCCCTGATTAAGTGCAGAGGCACTGGGCTCTCGCCCGTCTGCAAGTTAAATTTCACCTTCTAGCAAACCTCGGGGACCAGAGAGCTGCCCCCATCTCCCTCCCTTCCTGCCTTTTTTCCTCCTCGGTGCCTGTGCGGACTATGCTTGTGCTTGCGGGCTGAATCAGGCCTCGCTGGGGCAACTGGCCATTGCTCTCTGGAACGACTCCCGCCTTCCTTGGCATGGGGACAGTGTTTCCCTTGTCCTCATCGTGCCCCTGCCGTGATGGTGTTTTCCAATGAAGAAGGGGAGCGGAAGTGAGGACAAGGGTTACAGCCCAGTCCTGCCCACACCCAGCCGTGGAGCTGGGGCAGCCAGCGAGGAGCCCCTTCCTCCCTTGCCCTGGCTAGCCCCGCAGGGCACGGCTCCCAGCACAGCTCGCTAACGAAGCCAGGCATTCACCAGCGTCTCCCCTTGCACGGCCTCAGCTATGACCTTTGTCCTTGGCTGGCCCAGCTGCTGTGTGCCTGTCCCAATCACATGCACCAATGGCAGCACCAGGGATGGCTCCAGCCCCCGCTTTTCCCTGCCAGGAGGTCTGAGCCGCCCGTGCCAGAGGAGGTACTGTGTGGGGGCTCTGGGCTAGGCAGGCGGGGAGGCGCCCTGCTGCTTTCAGGGCTGCCGCGGGCTTCCCTTCAGCAAAGCCGCCTGTTTTACCGACTGCTTCCAGGGGGACCTGGTGCCAGACGGCGCGACCTGGGCAAGCTGTGTACGGAGCCACCCCAGGATCCTGCTGCAGGTCTGAGAGCTCCTGCCCCGGGCCAGCTGGCCCTTACCTGCCCCAGGAGATCGGGAACTGTTCAGGGGAGCTGAGGCAGGGGCTGAGCCCCCATGGGCACATCCAGCCTGGCCCCTCCTACGTGAGATGGCCCGGTGCAGGAGTAACAGGGTGTCCCTGCGAGCCGAATGACCCGGCGGGTGGGAGCAATGGGTCTGTGGGCAGCTTCCCAGGGGCCGTGGGGGTGTGGGTGATCTCCCTTTCCTCACCCCTTGCCCGGCACCCCTTGCAGCCACGGCAGTGCCATGTGGGTGGGCCGGCGCGTGGCGGAGCTGCCGACCCCAGCCTTCGTGGTGGACGAGGCGGTGGCGAGGAGGAACGCAGAGCGGATGCTGCAGCGCTGCGGGGCGCTGGGCTTGCGCCTCCGGCCTCACATGAAGACCCACAAGACGCTGTGAGTGCCCCGAGCACCCTTCCCCTGCTCCAGGGTCCGCGCCTGCTCCCCGCTCCCTTACACCATGCTGCCCATGGCCCTTGCAGGGAGGGCGGAGAGCTGATGACGGGCGGCATGCGCCGGGGCATCGTGGTGTCCACGCTGGCCGAAGCCCGGTTCTTCGCCGCGGGCGGCTTCGACGACATCCTCTACGCCTACCCACTGCCCTTCGACAAGCTGGAGGAGTGCGCGGCGCTGGCCCAGCACCTGGAGGCCTTCCAGGTCTTGGTAGACAGCCGGGACGCCCTGGCACAGCTGCAGAGGAGGCGGCTGGCTCACGGCGCGCGCTGGCTGGTGTGGATGAAGCTGGACTGCGGGAACGGCCGAGGTACGGGCCCAGGTCCGAACTGCCGCATTGCCCATTATGGCTAGGAGCCGGCACGAGTTGGGCAAGAGGGCTGTGCCTGTGCACGCGGGAGCAAAATCCCCTCCAGCCAGCAGCCCCAGGGTTTCCAGCCATCCTGTTTGCCGGCACCCCGGGAAAGGGTGCCCTCTGCCTCGTGTCCCTCCCTGTCCCTTGCAGCCGGCCTGAGGCACACGGACCCCGGCGCCCTGGAGCTGGCCCGGGCAATTGCGCAGGAAGCCCCGGAGGAGGTGGCGCTGGCTGGCATCTACGCACACTGCGGCAACACCTACGGCTGCAGCGGCGTGCCGGAGATCCAGGCTGTGGCCCAGGCAACCACCACCGCCATGCTGGAGTTCGTGGGCACGTGAGTGGTACCGCACCGGTGCCTTCGTAGGCTTGCTCTGATGAAAGCCACCCAATGTGCAGCCGGCTTGCCTGCATCCAAGCACCGATGGAGCCCAGCGGGCCCAGGTTTCTTCCATTGTTTATCAGCCGCTGCTAAGCCTGGACCTTGCCCTCCAAAGCAGCAGGGTCAGGCGGGGGGGGCCAAGCTCCCTGGAGACGTCCCTAGGGCAAGGAGTCCGGGTTTGCAGTCGTCGCCGAACTAACCTGCCTCTTACCCCGCTTTTACCCCAACCCTGCACAGGCCGGGATTGGAGATGGCGGGGGGGGGGGCGGGGGGGGCCTTGAG